GAATTTAGTTTTTGTAAACTGATTTCCATTAACAAAATTCTGAGCAAACAGGTCGTGTTTTCAGAAGACCAAAATGTTTTACCCTGACCTATTTTTTTTTAATAGTTTATTGTCGAGTTGGTTTCCATGTAACACCCAGTGCTCATCCCAACAAGTGCCCTTCTCCATGCTCATCATCCCCCCTTCCCGCTCCCCCCACCCCATCTGCCCTCAGTTTGTTCTCAGCATTCAAGAGTCTCTCATGGTTTTCCTCCCTCCCTCTCCCCCCACTATTTTTCCCCTTCTCCCCCTTGGTCCTTCGTTAGGTTCCTCCCAATCCTCCTATATGTGCAAACATATGGTATTTGTCCTTCTCTGCCTGACTTATTTCGCTCAGCATAACACCCTCAAGGTCCATCCATGTTGCTACACATGGCCAGATTTCATTTTTTCTCATTGCCATGTTGTATTCCATTGTATAGATAAACCACATCTTCTTGATCCATTCATCAGTTGATGGACATTTAGGCTCTTTCCATGTTTTGGCTATTGTTGAGAGTGCTGCTATGAACATTGGGGTACATGTGCTCCTATGCATCAGCATTTCTGTATCCCTTGGGTAAATTCCCAGCAGTGCTATTGCTGGGTCATAGGGAAGTTCTATTGTTAATTTTTTGAGGAACCCCCACCCTGTTTTCCAGAGGGGCTGCACCAGTTTACATTCCCACCAACAGTGTAGGAGGGTGCCCGTTTCTCCACATCCTCGCCAGCATCTAGAGTCTCCTGATTTGCTCATTTTAGCCACTCTGACTGGCGTGAGGTGGTATCTCAGTGTGGTTTTGATTTGTATTTCCCTGATGAGGAGGGATGCTGAGCATCGTTTCATGTGTCTGTTGGCCATCTGGATGTCCTCTTTGGAGAAGTGTCTGTTCATATCTTCTGCCCATTTCACTGGGTTGTTTGTTTTTCAGGTGTGGAGTTTGGTGAGTTCCTTATAGATTTTGGATAGTAGCCCTTTATGTAATATGTACCCTGACCTATTTTTGACAATCTACAGTATTCGTGGATGGAGTAATGTATCTATTAAAGACTTTGAATTATGTGTGGAACATCACAGAGATTTAAGAAAGGAGAACACAGGTTAACAGTTCACACTGCTGAGGCCAAAAGTAAGTCATTAACTGCCAGTACTTTTATCAGGTTTGAAACTATGTTGCTACCTTTCTTCCCCCCCCTCTTTTTCTCTTGTGTAGCAAATGGAGTCACTTTCCTTAATTTCAGAGATCTACTTCATAGAAGTCATTTAAGTCACAACCTTGACTATTTTCAGCCCTCAAAGTATCACCAGGGTGCAGGCAGTAGTATCCTTCATACTAAATTAAATTGCAGGCCCACGCATGGAAGGATAGGTGGGAACCAGCAGTTCTCAGTGCCAAGTGCAGGCTGTTCTTGTCTCAGTGCCAAGTGCAGGCTGTTCTTGCTATACGTGGATTTCAGTGCTCAAGGTAGCATTTTCTTAGCAACTTTGTCCACGTTTCAGTTTCTAAAAGCATCGTTAACTGTGAGTAGTGGCAGAAAGTAGAAATCTGCCGCTAGCTCTCCAGTCCACAAATCCTTATGCGATACTTAGTGACCAACCATCACTTACTGATCAGCCATCCCTGAAAGTCTGGGCGGTGGGTTGTGACACATCTTACTCAGTTCACGCACAGATGGCCAAGGGTGTGTTTGTGTTGCCTCGTAGTCTCCCAGAGAAAAACCCACATGGCATTTTACAAAAGCAGACAATTGAAGGAGGATCAAGCAACAAAGATCAAAGTGGAACAAATAAGTGACCGTGATAAGATTGGAAGTGACATTTGAATATGATACTAGGATGTGAGTGGAGCCTCAGGAGAAACAGGTGATGAGAGAATGGCAACATTTGCTTTCTGGAGACTTGGATACGCAGCCAGAGGCGAAGCAAAGGCGAGCTTATCGACACAATGAGGGAAAAGATGAAAAGGATGAAGATGTCCAGAGGAGGTGACACTGATAGAAAATTTCACATGGGACTCATGGAGCTATTTGGTGACTTTGAAAGGCCAGATGGTAAAATGTTGGAGGTGAATCCAAGCTTGGGCAGTCAGACAATTTGCCAAGGCATAGAAAGGAAGCTTGCTCTGTGTCATACGAGGAAAAAAAGAAAAGCACTGTATTTTACAAATGAAACACTTGACTCCGTGTTTTTAATGTTTTAAGTTATAGTCCACCAAATACTAGTTTTATTTTTTTTTCATTTTATGCATTTAACAATAGGAGTTTTTAGTACTTTGACAAACTTTAAAAAATGTATTCGTCATCATGGATGTTGTATTTTGAGAGAAGCATAAAAGGTAGACAGTTGATATGCAGAGGTGTGAGTCTAATTTTCTGATCCAGTGTAAATTATAAAATAGATCAGGTCCCTGGTTCTTTTTCATCACAAAGTTGTCAGCTCTGAAAGTGGTCGCTGTGCTCCCACAGGTCTGTACCTTTAAATACAACAGCTTTACTTCCTTCTCAACATCAACAAACCAAACAAACAAACAACAAAAAGAGAAACTCTGTACACATGCAGTCCTTGCAGCAGTGCAGGATGGTTAAAATGAGTTGCTTGCTGACCAAGGTGTGGGGGTAGGAAGGGTGCTTGGAGCTGCTACGCCCTCTTCGGGCACACCACCCTCCCCGCACCTCGATGTGCTCACCAACCTGGAAGCTCTCCCAATCCTGCAGTTTGGGTTTTTTTTTTGGGGGGGGGGTGTTTTTTTGTTTTTATGGGGGTTTCACTGTGTAGACATGATTGATTAAATTGCTGATGGTGATGGTCCACCTCCCATCCCTCTTCCCTCCCCAGAGGTTGGGGGTTAGGGCTAAAATTCCAACTTTCTTTTTTTTTTTTTTNAGGAGAGAGAGAGAGAGAGACAGCGGAGCAGGGGAGGGTCAGAGAGAGAGGGAGACACAGACTGAAACAGGCTCCAGGCTCTGAGCTGGCAGTCAGCACAGAGCCCGACGCGGGGCTCGAACCCACGAACCGCGAGATCATGACCTAAGCGAAAGTCGGACGCTCAACCGACTAAGCCACCCAGGCGCCCCTAAAATTCCAACTTTCTAATCAAGGCTTGGTCTTTCTGGTGAACAGCCCCCATTCTGAAGCGATCTAGAAGCTGCCAAGAGTTACCTCATTCAAATAAAAGGTGCGGCACTTAGGTGGCCCTGTTGGTTAAGTGTCCAACTTTGGCTCAGGTCATGATCTCACGGTTTGCGAGTTCGAGTCCCACATTGAGCTCTCTGCTTCAGCACAGGGCCTGCTTTGGTTCCTCTGTCCCCTCCCCCCCCCGGCCCCTCCCCTGCTAGTGTTATCTCTCTCTCAAAGATAAACATGAAAACATTTCTAAAAGAATGAAAGATGCTTTTATCACCTCCATCACTTAGGAAATTACAAGGGATTTAGGACCTTTACATCAGGAACAGAGGACAAAGCCATCTGTCTTTCTGTGATATCACAGGTCATCTCCTGGTTCCCTTACAGCAGAAGGATTATAATAGTTAAGAGATACTGGCACATTTCTAGATGCCCACGTAGTCATTACTAATTAGTCATCATCACATTGTCTGAAAATGACTCGCAGGGGAAGGCCACTCAAATCTGCAGTCTTCCATTTGATCTTGTCAGGTTCCAAAAGCAGGATTGATCTCAGCAATAGATGGCTTCACCTTTCAGGCATAACTCGAGAACAGCCAAATGGAAGAGATACATGGAGCAAGGTATTGGAGGGAAGGTGTGGGGCTTCCATGGCCTCTTGGGCACGCCCCCTCCCAGGCCTTCCATGTGTTCATCAGCCTGGAGTTCTCTGGCCTTTTTTTTTTAAGAGAGAAAGTGAGAGAGAATGAGAGAGAGAGAGAGAGAGAAAGAGAGAAAGCAAGTGAGAACAGGGGAGAGAAGCAGAGAGAGAGACAGAGAGAATCCTAAGCAGGCTCCAATGTGGGACTCGATCCCACGACCTTGGGATCATGACCTGAGCCAAAATCAAGAGTCAGACACTCAACTGAGCCACTCAGGCGTGCACGTGCACACACACACACACACACACACACACACACACACACACCCAGCACTTTCTGACAGGACCTTCAAGTGGTACTACATGAGGATCTTTAGAGCCATTTCATTTTTCCAGAGAGGAGCCTTCCACCTTCAAACCCAGGGTAAAAGTGCAATATATGTGTGGACTAGGGGTTCAATCTTACTTTCACAGGTTTTCACTGTTGGTAGTGTCACACCTCACTCCTACCCTGTGTTTTACTTTGTGTCCCTGATCCTTGGGCTTTTCCTGTTTCTCCACTGTATGAGATGTTATGTGTCTGCCTGGTGTGTGGGAGAGAGAGTCTCCCTACCAATGTCCATTTTCAGTCCCCTCCCTCACACCCCTCTCTGAGTCCTGAACCTCTCTCCAGAGCTCTATGCTCAGAGGTGTGGCATGTCCCACTTGTGATTTCCTCACCTTCTCCCATCAGCTTCCCATCTTCTAAACAAGTCTTCAGTCTTCTTGGTTGCTGATGTTCCTCTCCCATTCTCTCTGTTGTGCATCCATACCTTTATTGTCCTTTTAGTACCCTTTATTGAGCTCTGAGGAGGCAGAGGAAATACTGTATGCATCTTAAACTGGAGTTCCACCACCAGTTTTAAGATTAAGGATTTGGGGGCGCCTGGGTGGCTCAGTCGGTTAAGCGTCTGACTTCGGCTCAGGTCATGATCTCACAGTTCGTGGGTTTGAGCCCCGCGTCGGGCTCTGCTGACAGCTCAGAGCCTGGAGCCTGATTCGGATTCTGTGTCTCCTTCTCTCTCTGACCCTCCCCTGCTCACGCTGCCTCTCCCTCTCTCAGAAATAAATAAAACATTTAAAAAATTGTTTAAAAAAAAAGATTAAGGATTTGAACCAGTGGACTTGGGCAGAAAGGAGAAATGTGAGACTCAGAATAGGAAAAGTCAGACTGCGGCTTAAAAATAATCTTTACTTATTCAGGCAGCACACACATTGGGTATTAAAGGCAAGGCTGCTGTCACCTCTAGAACACTACTTGTGGCGATCATCTTCTCCCAGGCTCCACATTTTAGCCTTGTACAGAGTGATGTCGTTGTAGACCCTGAAGTGGTTCAGCCTGCGGTCATCACGTTCTGGGCTGACCTAGAGAGGAGAACGCAGGTGTCAGAAGGAAGCCTCTGGGGATAGGGAACGACATGGGCCTGAAGTCGGATGGACCTGAGCCCCAAAAGCACTGGAGGCTTTTACTTGCCCAACCTTGTTTGGGAAAAGGAGATGACAGCAATTGCATCAAAAACAGTTGCAGGACTGAATGAGAGTACCTATATGCAATGTGGCTACTCTTGCCTTTCCCAGGCCTGAGTTGGAGGCCACGCCTGTGGACTACTGGAATGTATGCTCCATGAGGCAGGCCCTGTATCTGTTGCCATCTCTACTTACCCCAGCACCTAGAACATTATCTGGCAACACTAGGGATTCTGTACACATTTGTTGAATGAAGGAGTGGATATTGTTGAAGCAGTCTCACAGGGAACTAAGAGCAAGCACTCTGACACATAAATCTTATAGAAGCTAGAAGATTAACTTATGCAATTAACTGAAAGGATACATTTTCGTCAAATGTTACTAGGAGAGCAGAAGCTGAGAGGTATTCGAGTATGGCTTCCCCAGTGTCCCAGTGTTGGGATTGGGGTTCTCTGCTAGTCCATGGTGAGGCCCTGCTAGGGGGGAAGGGAGCCTAAGTTAAATTGGGTGTGATCAATTCTGCTCCCAACTGTATCATTCTGAAACTCTGGCTTAATTACCTTTTATGGTTGCAGAACACCTGGATCTAACTTTTTTTGGGGGAAATACTTTCTTACTATGCCAGTAGTGCCATCTAATGTCATTGTCCCTAGGTCTATAATGATGAACAGGCTTGGCATATTTGCAGATGCTTTGCAACTCCACAGTGATGGCTGATCTGCTGGCATGCACAGTTGGTTATCTGTAAGGCCTAGGAGGCTTGGAGCAGGGCAGGCAGGGCTGACTGGGGCAGCCACACTGGTCCTTCCTGTCACAGTCTGCCATGAGATGTGCTGGTCAAAGATGCATTTCTGGGGGAGGGGCCAAGATGGTGGAGGAATATGGAAGTATTTTTGCATCTCTCGTCCCTGAAATGCAGCTAGATATGCCAAACCATCTTGTACACCTAGAAAACTGATCTGAGGATTAACTCAACAATCTGTATAACTTGAGCCACAGAACTCCACAGATATGCAGTATGGGGAGGTGAACTGGGGGAGAGAGAAGCCATGAAGGGCAAGGAGCTATTTTTGCTTGTGGAGAGAGGACAGAGACAGGGGGTAGAATAGAAGAAACGCACTCCTCCCAAAAGCAGCTGGAGAGAAAGAGAAAGAGTGGAAACACCCATAAAGGATTTAACAATAAGTGGAGAAAGGAGAAAGGAGAGGATTTAAATTCCATTAAGACCCTATGAACAGGGGAGCGCAGAGTCTGAAACTCTGCTGCTTGAAACCTGGCGGTGGGAAGGGCAAATCCCCAGGAACAGACAATGAGACCCAAGGGGAGGCAGTTCCTCAGCTGGGAGGACATTTGGTAGAAGTTGTGTGGCATCCCCAAAGACAAAGGTCCCAGAGGACCCCAGAGAACAGCCATATTTGCTGGTGTTGGAACAAGGACATTAAAAGGTGGTGAAGCCTGATGCCAGATGTGTGTTGTGGTTTTCCATAAACCCTGAAATGTTGCTGCTACAGGATTGTGTGAATTTTTCTGGGGCAGGTTGGCATCCAGCCTCAGTCTCTAGGCACCTGCAGTTGCATGGTCACATGAGCATTCTGAGGGGTGGGCCAGCACCCAGCCACTGCTCAGTGAGGCCCTCCCTCAGAGCGTTGGAGCAGATCAAAGCCACAAGGCCCTCGGAAGTGAGGGGTTTGGAAGCACAGCTCCATCTGAGATAAAACTCAGGAAGGAGGTGCCACCTGGGGATTGATGACTTGGTTGAGGGTAGGGTAGAAATGGGGAGTGGAGAGTGGCTGGAGACAAAGGAGGGGTGCTTGATTGCCAGTAGGCAAGACCCAGAGTTCTGATACCAGAGACTGGGTAGCTGGGTGACACAATTTTCACCCTTCCTGCACATGCACATACACACACACCACAACCATCTGCCTCAGTAAATTGAGGAGCGCCATCTAGTGGAGAAACAGAGCCATTACACTAAGGCCCGTTCAACTGCACCAACTGTGCTCTAGAGGAACACGAGTCTCTCTGCCTGCTTAGTTTACAGATTGTAAAGTGCTTCAGTGTTTGACTTCTAGGGGAAACTGGATGTAATTTCAGTCGTATTCTATTCCGTTCGCTGGTCCATCTATTCCATTTTTTTCTTTTTCTTTTCTTATTCTTGGATATAGAAAGATAAAAAATTTACTTTTACTTTCCGTTTTTATAAAAAAGATTTTCTTTAATTTTTTTCTACTATGTTTTCCAATTTTTTGGTAATTTTTGCTGTATTTTACTTTCATCATTTAATTTTATTCTATTTTATTGTATTCATTTTTAAAAAAAATTTCAAGTGTTTTCCCTTTTTTTGTTTTCTTTTCTTTCCCCTTTTCCTTATTCTATCAAGCTTCTTTCAACAATCAGACCCAAACACATCTAGGATCTAGTATCCTTTATTTAATTTTTTTGTGTTGTTTTTAATTTTTAATTTTGATTTTATTAATTCTTTCTCTTCTTCCAAAATGACATAACAAAGGAATCTACCCCAAAAGAAAGATTAGGAAGAAATGACAATCAGGGCCTTAATCAACACAGACACAAGCAAGATGTCTGAACCAGAATTTAGAATCACCATAATAATAATACTAGGTGGCATTGAACAAAGCATAGAATCTCTTTCTGTGGCAGTAAAAGAGAATCTAGTCAGACGAAATTAAAACTGCTATAACTGAGATGTAATCTCGAACGGATGCCACAGTGGCAAGGACGGATGAAGAAGAGCAGTGAATCAGTGATATAGAGGACAAACTTATGGAGAAAAATGAAGCAGGAAAAAAGATGGAAACTAAGACAAAAGAGCATTAGAGAACTCAAAAGAAAATTAGAGAACTCAGTGACTCATTAAAAAGGAATAACATTTGAATCATAGGGGTCCCAGAAGATGGAGAGAAAAAGGGGTAGAAGGATTATGTGAGCAAATCATAATGGAAAACTTTCTTAACCTGGGGAAAGACACACCAAAATCCAGAAAGCACAGAGAACTCCCATTAAACAAAAACTGACCATCAACAAGACATATCATAGTCAAATTCACAAAATACACAGACAAGGAAAGAATCATTAAAGAAGCAAGGGAAAAAAGTTCTTAACCTACAAGGGAGGACAGATCAGGTTTGCAGCAGACCTATCTCCAGAAACTTGGCAGGCCAGAAAGGAATGGCAGGGTGTATTTAATGTGCTGAATTAGAACAATATGCAGCCAAGAATTCTTTATCCAGCAAGGCTGTCATTCAAAATAGAAGGAGAGATAGAAAGTTTTCCAGACAAACAAAAAGTAAAGAAGTTAATGACCACTAAACCAGCCCTGCAAGAAATTTTAAGGGGAACTCTCTGAGGGGAGAAAAGACGAAATAAGGCCAAAAAAAGTCCAGAAGCAACAAAGACTAGAAAGGACCAGAGAACACCACCAGAAACTCCAACTCTACATGCAACACAATGGCAATAAATTCATATCTTTCAGTACTCACTCTAAATGTCAATGGACTAAATGCTCCAATAGAAAGAGATAGGGTAACAGAATAGATAAGAAAACAAGATCCATCTATATGCTGTTTACAAGAGATCCATTTTAGACCGAAAGCCACCTTAAGATTGAAAGTAAGGGGATGGAGAACTATCTAATATGCTAATGATCTCCAAAAGAAAACTGTAGTAGCCATACTTAAACAATCTAGATTTTAAAATAAAGACTGTAACAAGAGATGAAGAAGGGCATTGTATCATAATTAAGGGGTCTATCCACCAAGAAGACCTACAATTATAAATATCTATGCCCCCAATGTGGAACACCCAAATATATAAATCAATTACAAACATACAGAAACTCATTGATAATAATACTGTAATAGTAGAAAACTTCAACACCCACTCATAGCAATGGACAGATCATCTAAACAAAATCAACAAAGAACAATGGCTTTGAATGACACACTGCATTGGATGGACTTAACATATATATTTAGAGCATTTCATCCTAAAGCAGCAGAATACATATTCTTCTCGAGTGCACATGGAACAGTCTTCAGAATAGATCACATATTGGGACACAAATCAGCCCTCAACAAATACAAAGAGATGGAGCTCATACCATGCATATTTTCAGACCATAACACTATGAAACTTGAAATCAACTACAAGAAAAAATTTGGAAAGACAATCAATACTTGGAGACTAAAGAACATCCTATTAAAGGATGAATGAGCTAACCAAGAAGTCAAAGAGGAAATTAAAAAGTACATGGAAGCCAATGAAAATGATATCACCACAGCCTGAAACTTCTGGGACGCAGCAAAGGTCGTCATAAGAGGGAAGTATATAGCAATCCAGATTTTCCAAAAGAAGGAAGAAAGGTCTCAGATACACAACCTCACCTTACACCTTAAAGAGCTAGAAAAAGAACAGCAAATAAAACCAAAAACCAGCAGAAGATGGAAAATAATAAAGATTGGAGCAGAAATCAGTGCTATTCAAAAATTTAAAAAACCCAGTAGAACAGATCAATGAAACCAGGAGCTGGCTCTTTGTAAGAATTTAAAAAAATTGATAAACCCCTAGCCAGTTTGATCAAAAAGAAAAAGGAAAGGACCCAAATAAATAAAATCAAGAATGAAAGAGGAGAGATCACAATGAACACCACAGAATACAAATAATAATAAGAGAAAATTATGAGCAATTATATGCCAATAAATCTGGAAGAAATGGAAAAATTCCTAGAAACATATGAATCACCAAAACTGAAACAAGAAATAGAAAAGTTGAACAACCCATAACCAATAAAGAAATCAAATCAGTAATCAAAAATCTTCCAAAAAACAAGTCCAGAGCTGGATGGCTTCCCAGGGGAATTCTACCAAACATTTAAAGAA